GGAGAGGCTTAAAAAAGAGAAAAAAAGGAAAAGTAGTACTTGGGCATGTAGAATATGTAAATTAAAGACAACTAGGTCAGGATCCACAATTTGAGGGTCACTAAGGAGGTTCCTAGCTCTACGGATATCAACGGAGGCCGAATTAGGGGTGAAAATGAACTGATGTTCTACTAGGAAGCTAAGCTCTCCTTGAGAGTTTACACTATAAAAAGCCTTAGTCAATGCAATCCCAATTAATCATAGCTCTCAATTAAGTTACGGGTTGTTTCTATCTCCTGGGGCTGGTACCTAAAATCCTCAATGCACAGAGGAGGAAGACAGTAGGTCAGCAGCAAGACAAGTCTGCAGTGGTTGCCCCAAAGACATTCAAGAGTTGACTAGAAAGCAGTACAGAGTCCCTGGCAGCTGAGACACGTGGAAGGTACCAGCAGAAATGAGTAGTGCCACAGGCAGTGATTAATACAGAATAAAAAATAAGTAGTAGCCATTAGTTTGAGTAAAATGACTATGCCCATTTTACAACCAAGAAAAACAGAAGAACTGAATTTAAGCCACCTGTCCCAACAGTGCCCCACAGTGTTAGTTAAGAAAGCAGACTCAAGTTAGAATGCCTGGGCTTGAATTCTCGCTTAGTTATTTGCTTAGCTGTTTTGCACAGGGCAATTTCATTAACCTCGGTGCCTCAGTTGCCTCACCTGTAACAAAGATAATCAGAGTATTGACTTCAAAAGGTGGTTGTGAGAACTGAATGAGTTAATAGGTATAAAGCCCTTAGAACCGCACCTGGCACACAGCAATCAGCAAGTTATAGCTCTCATGGACAGGGTGACAGTGGTACTAAAACCTTCTGACTCTCTGTTCTATTGTATCCTGCTAATTTACAGGGCCCCCACTGCCACTTTTATCTACATCAGGGTAGCCAAAGATCATCATCCAGTTCTCTGCCTCTTTACCTGGGGGCTCTCTAAACTCTGAGGCCCAAGCTACAGTAGAGAATTCAGAATTGTGGGGCCTATGCAGGGGTGGCCCAGAGCCCTAAGGTTTCCCTAGGCACTCAAGAGGCTGGGGGAGTTTGCAGGCCAAAAATTAACCCATTGCTAAGACCCTGGTCTTCCCCACACCTCCACCTAAACTTCCAGAGAGAACCCCTACTGTTTTATAGTATGCAACCACTCATGACCTTGCATTGTGTTCATCTGGTCATGTGTTATCTGCTTGCCTTGTGACGGAAACTGCAGTAGCCTCTAATATAGCAGCCTGGCCCAGGGTGGCCACTTGGCATGCAGGCAAAACTACTTCCCAAGGGCCTCGATTCCCAGCCATCTCAAGCCACCTAAATGCATCTTGAGTACAGTAAACAAACAATTGGTAAAGCAAAACTAGGGACTTACCAAGTTTGGGGAAACCAAATTTCTAATTATTTGGTTTTATGAGCCTTGAGAGTTTGTTCTGGATTTTTTGTTTTGTCCTCACTTTGTCAGAAGGGTAAGTGTGTACGTTAGAGAGAGCAACAGAAATTCTAAATTGGACAATGAGTCAGGATTGCCACTGTCTTGTAAGTGGCAGTAATCTCGAACTTTGTTTTAGGTGTATTCAGAACAAGGTCCTTTAGCAATGGAAAACAAGGGGATAAAAGTGAACTGGTGATGCCTTAACTCCTCTTATGTGAAAGTACTTCAAAGTTAAAGATATAGGCACCAACCCATCAACCAAATAACTTACAGCATTGTTAATATGGTTTTAAAAAGCCTGGGAGGTTGGTTTGAGTGCTGCCACTAATTCATTTCAGACAAGTCCTGTCCCTTTTCTGGGCTTCAGTTTCCCTCCTTGTTAAACAGAAGTTCCAGATAAGAAGTCTAAGACCACTTCTGACCTGCTATAGCTTCTTCTCTCTGCACAGTGCTTCTGGGTAGGACCTGTTTGGTCTGTGCTCAGAAAACGTCATTATGGACAGAAGTTTATCAAAGTGGGATAAAGCATTTCAAGAACTTTCTTTTTTATACTGGATTACCCATACATCAAATAATTTCTTGAAACTATAGAAATGCCTTCTGAGTATTCACTAGGGAGTTGAGATTGAAGGAAGGAAAAACAACTATCATATTGGCCCAATAGTGAAAGACATTCCACTTTGCCTCTTCTCTGCCTATTCTCAGTCCTAGGCAGCCTTCTTTCAAGCCCATCTTCTCTGCTAACTCCTGATTCTCTTTTCTCAATTCTGTACAAAGCCCTTGTTAATGAGCCAACTTGCCATTTCCTCCAGTGACCTTGATTAGCATATAGGTCTTCTACTAGTCTTCAAACTACTAGTCTTTCAAATGTAAGTTCCTTTAGGGCAAGGAGTGTTTTGTTGTTTTTCTTCCTTTCCTTTCAAATACCACAGTAGGGACACAGTAAAATTATGTGCATTTGGTTCGGTTGAGACTTCAAGGCATTTTGGTCTATTTCAAAGTGGTTCTAAGTTGCAGGAGACTGGGCAAAGGGTGACTGCAATGGACTTTTCTGTTTAAGAGAATCTCGAGGATTCCTTCCAGCTCTGACATTACTGGATATATCAGCATGCTGTAAAGTCAGGTCCCCAAGACAGATCAAGACCACTAAATTTTGGAAGATAGAGTCAGGAAAACTTAACCTGGAGTAATCTGAATCTTTGTTCTCCACTTTAATATTAACAAGCAAAAACAATTGCCTATTTACTACTTGCTAAGTTAACACATGGCATGAAAGATAGAATGTCATTTTCACAAACAAGGACAAAGCACATTTTCTTCATTTCCCTGTCTCTGAATCCAGAACATTGTAAAGGCTCAAATACTTTGAAGACCCCAAACAAATGTGAGGAACATATTTAGTATGTAGCCTCAGGCAAAATATTTCATTTCTCTATGTCTCAAGTTGTAGTTCACAAATGGAGTATGAAAAAAACCAGTGTTTCTGTTGATTTGGTGTTGTTGACGACACAGTAAATAGGATGTGTTCCATGGTTAAACAAGTTTCGGAAACTTGAATAATGTGAATCTCGAAGGGGTAATGGTCGAAGAGGATTCACTAGTGTAGCCTGAACTTATTGAGACAGTGACATTTCCAGTCTGCACAGCAACTCAATGACATAGGTACCCTTATCTTATGGATAAAGGAATGCTTCTGAAAGGTTTTAAACAACTTGTCCCATGTCTCATGCAGTCAATTTAGGACAAGCCAGGAATGAACGTGAGTCTAACCCCAAAGTCCGTGGTATTAACTGCTTTGCTATGCTGCCATTGTTTACTATGGAGTTTCAACAAAATCTAAGTGTAAACAAAATCTAAACAGTATTTATATGAGTAAGCAAGGGCTTCATACTGAGGCTGAAGTTTCAATGAACTGAGGACAGAAGCGAATATTTGGCAAAGCAAATTCCCATATCCCAAGGCAGTCCTGTAATATGGAAGTCCAGACCCATCATTAACCATAGAGAAGAAGTCTGAGAATGGAAGGACTTAGAAATAAATGATGAGCTCCTAGAATACAGGTAAGATAAAAGAATCTCCTGGGGAGTGTTTTCAAAACAAACATTCACCCTGGAGAGAGTGGATTTTTCAGAATGGATGGGGTAGGGATGGGCAAAAAGCAGAAGTCTCTTGAAAAAGGAAGGTGATACAGATCATGTCCTCCAATCCACTGTCAAACTGGTTGAAACATGACAAGGAGCTCTCTTGGTGGGATCTTGGCTGGTGGGATCTTGAGTAAAGTTGGGCAAAAGCTCAAGCAGGATTTTAGGAAACCACCCTATCCAACCCCACCTAAAATCCTACTCATTCTTAAAGGTTCATCCTCAAGGTAGGTAGGGCAGCACTGCCCATTTGAAAGGATCCAAGCCTTGAATCAAGACAGATCTGGGTTCACAGTACTTAACCACGAGAAGTATAAGGAAACCAGGAGCACAGTCCAACTTCCCTTTCAAGCTGATTAACACTGATCAAGTTGTATTTGTTCACCTCTGAGTCTGTTTCTATAACTTACAGAAAGGGGACAAAACTTAATTTTAAAGTTATCTTAAATCACTTTAGTGCTCAGACCATAGCTGGAACTCAGATTAGTAAACTCTCTCCTGGGTTCTCCTGCCTTAGGAAGTCTCCCTGAAATTTCTAGTCCACTGCCCCTCTCCTCTCTATTTGTAGTCTGAAAAAGACATGTGAGTACTGAGCACTCAGGAACACATTTCCTAACTGCAGTTAAAACTTGGAAACTAGGATTATTAGTTCTCCCAGGACTGCAAGCCCCCTTGCCTCAATGAGCACCATTCTCCTGATAAGTAAAACCACTTCCCAGACAGCCTCAGAGGTTAAAAGAAGATTAAGAATGTAAAGCAGAGGGAAAAGACGTTAGATGTTTTGTTATGTGTCAGCTCTAGGCCCACCTGTGGGGGTTATTAGCCTGCATGTCCCAGAGGACTAAGCCAGAAAACCGTCAGTTTACTTGACTGCCCTGGGATGAAGTACTGAGGTCCCACAGGAAAAGGCAGACTAGGAAGCTAGAGTTTTAGGGGGTGGAGCTGGAAGGTGTCAGGAAACTTGCAGCCAGACAGGGAGAAGGTGTGGGTGGGTCTAGTTTTTTTCTTTTTGTTTGTTTTGGGAGGGAAAGAGAAGAGGCCCTAGAGAGAGTGAGGGGGCTCCGCAGTTCTGCCACCAACTCTAAACTCAAACCCCTCCACTCCCCGACGGATCATAGAAGTGCTATAATAATGGCGCACACTTATGGAGCACTTACTAAGATAATAGTCAGCACTTAAATGAGCTCTTGTTATGAAAATACCAGCTAAGGTTTGTGCCGGGACTGATCTAGGGTCCGGAGAAAAGAGAGGCCCCAGGGCCTGGGCCCGGTAAAGAGTGTGTACCTGGGCCCAGGGTGACAGGACCAGGACCCGGGCCTAGGGACTCCTGGGACAGTTTGGGCAGAGCCGTACAGACAGCAGGGGGGTCTAGGCCCCGCGCGGGCGGAATGGCCCGCGGTGCTCCTACCTTTGAGCGAGGTCTCCACCAGGCGCAGGTAAAGCTGCGAGCTCTTGTTGCCGTGACTCATGCGCTGGGCTAGCCCGTTGCGCTGCAGGACGCACTCCTCAAACTGCACGACATTCTGATGGCGCCGCTTGAGGCTGGTCAGGGCCCAGAATTCAGCCAGCGCCAGCTCCACGTTCTCGGGGGCGTCGCAGCGGATCTTCTTGACCGCCACCCGGGCCCCGCTGGGCCCGGCCACTGCCTCGTAAACCACTCCGTAGCTGCCGCGCCCGATCTCCGCCAACAGGCTGTAGCGCGGTCGCACCGACCCGCCGCCGCCCTCCGGCCGCCGCCGCGCCAGGTAGGCCTCGCCTGCGGCCTCGGCCGCCACCGGATCCATGGCCTGGGCCGCCGCCGCCGGCCTCAGCTTCGCGCTGGGCGCCCGCGGCACTGGGCTTCGCCTTTTCCGCTCCAGGCTTTGTGTACCTCTGCGGGCGCCGTCCTCCTCCCCCGTTTCCATGGCTGCAGGCGGCGGGGGGAGCAGCAACGGCGCTGCCCGGGCCCCCCCTGCCTCATCCCTCCGTACGGCCCCGGGACGCGGAGGAGCGGGACCTTGGCTTGTGACCTGTGGGCGAAAGAATCGATTAAACGAGCAGGCCGAGGCGGGGAGGCAAGGAGCTCAAGCCGCAGAGTGTCCCAACTTCTCCGGCCGCCGGGGCCCCTTTAAGACGGAAGCCACCGCCGCCGATTGAAGGGGGAGGGGCGGGGAAAGCGGGAAAGAGGGAACCACAAGGCAGTGGTTCAGAGGGGGAGCCGGAAAGAAAAGCAAAAACTCGCCGTTTACTCAGTTAATTTGTCGTGTAGGAATAAGACAAACAAGAACCGGCAGGCTTTATGATTTAAGAAAGTCGTCTTGAGAAGCGATTCGGACTGTTGAAATCTTTTTCCCTGCCCGGTCCGCTCTGATAAACCCCTCCCCGCGTCCTGCCTTGTGTTCTCCCGGGTGTAAACAGTCCATTGAATTAAGCCCTAGTGGAGCCCCGAGGACCAACCCAAGTCCCCAAAGGCGGCGGGTGGAGGGAATGGGCTTAAAAGTTCGGCTTCTCTGAGTACGGCAAGCTGAGCACCCGATTGCCCTCCCCTAGCGCCGAGGCATCGGGAGTAGCTCCAGCTTCGGCGCTTGTCTTTGTCCAGTAGACTGTGCCCTTACCTGGCCGGCGCTCTTCCACTTCCGGGAGGCCCGTTTCCCCCCTGGAGCCCCCGCCTGGGGATGGTCCGCTCCCGGCCGGGGCTGTCTCGGAGACCTACCCGCGCGGGAGGCGATGGCCCGGGTTTGGTGTGCGACGGGTCCTGCCGCTGCACCCGAGGTGGTAGCGACGCTTGGGGGGGAGGCCCAGGCTTCCAGGCTCCCGTGGCTCTCCACGTGCTCGCGCCAGCTGAGCCCTTTACATAACCTCTTTATATAAGCCGCACCTCCCGCCGGCGCTCGGGCCAGCGGAGACTCCTGGTGGCCCATCCCCCGGGAGGTCAGCCGAGTACTGCGCCGCCCAGGTCCTGCCAAGGTCGACAGAGCAGCCGCAGCCGGGAGCACCCGGCACGCTGCGCGGGGGCCCAATCACCGGCAAGAACACCCAACCAAAAAAAATAGGCGCCAAATTCCCGCAATCCGCTGCAACCTCTGGGTCTCCGCTGCAGTCTGAGCACCGCGACCTCTCCTCGCCCGACCTGCGTGAAGATGAACCGCTCGCAGTAGGAGCCTAATAAATACTGATTTGGTGATTGGATTGGTCGGTTTGATTGATTCAATAGCTCAGGCCTGGGAACCTCAGGGACTGTTGGGATCCCGACCCTCCCTTCTACTAGCCCAGTGATCTTGGGCAAATCATTGCCCCACCCTGATCCTGTTTCCCCTCTGCAAGATGGATAGAATGGGCTTACTTCCCGGGGGTGACAGACCGATTAGTTCAGTTGGTTAGAGTGCAGCCTTATAACACCAAGGTCACGGTTTCGCATCTCTATACCTGCCAGCCGCTAATTGGGTGTAGGGCTGAGAGTTAGTGCTCAATGTAAAGCTCTATTTAGGCGTGGGGTTTTGTTCACTGCTTTGTAACCCAGTGTCTAGTAGATGCCCAATATTTGTCAACTGAATCTACAGATATTTATTGAACGTCTATAATATGCTAGGCACCATTCTAAGTCGCTGGGGAAAGGGCAGTGGACAAGACAGTCTCTGCCTTAGCTGGGGTCCTGTGCTACTGGAGGAGACAAACCACATCGGTGACCCTGGGCAAGTTAATCAACCTGTGTCTTTATTCCTCATCTGTAAGATTGGAACAGTTGTTGGAGGATTCACAGAAGTTATACAAGTAAAGCACCGAAAACAGGATAGGGTCCTGCACACAATAGATGTTAGGTATTATTTTAAAATAAATGTACAGGATAATTTCTACCAGTGATAGGTGTGATGGAGAAAAAGAATGAGCTAAAGTGTGCGGGGGGGTTGGAGACAGGCCAGTTCTGATAGTGTGATCACTGAAAGCCTCGGTAACTTTATTTTTGGATAAAATTTCAAATTTACATATAAATTGCAAGAATAATAAAGAACTCATTTACCTTTCAACCAGAATAACAAGTTTTTATATTTTGCTACATTTGTATATTCTCTCTTGCGTGTATGTATATATTGTATATATTATATATATATAATATATATCCTTTTTTCTAAGTCATTTTAGCGTTTCTGACATTATGCACCTTTATCCCTAAATATTTCTGTATGTATTTCCTAAGAACAAAGTCTTTCTCTTTCATAATCTCAGTACAAAGATAAAAATCAGAATTTTTTTTTCTTCTCATGCATATTTTCTTTTAATTCAATTTTATTTATATTTATTTTCGTTGGGTACAGTGTGTTGTTTCAATACATGCATATCCTGCACAATGATCCACTTTGGATAGATAGCAAAGTTTTGTCCCCATTAGTTCACCCCTTATCTTCCCCCCCAACCCCACCCCTCCCCACCTCTGATAACCATTCTTCTATTCTCTACCTTTTTTTTTAAAACACAGAAAGATGAATATCCTTATTGCAAGAACTCTTAAAAATGCATTAGAAAAGTCTAAGCTGAAATTTGGTGAAGGACATGAGCAGATAAGTCAACACCCAAAGAAATACGTGTAGGTAATAAGTATCTTCTAGGATCTTGTAGACCAGGCTGGGGCTGTCCTGGCCCCCATCTCTCAGGGTCCCAGGCATTGGTCTGGCTCTTGCTGACCTGGATATACAGAGGCGGCAGCCAAAATCAGGAATTTTAACAATGATACAGTAATTTTATTTAATATACCATCCATATTTAAATTTTTCTAATTGTCTCAATAATGCCCTTTATGGCTATTTCCCAGGATCCAGTTCAGGATCACATGTTGCATGCATTTAGTTGTTATGTCTCTCTAGTTTCCTTTAATCCATAAAGGCAGTTGGTTACTCAACCTTTATTTGTCTTTTCATGATTTTGAAATTTTTGAAGAGTACTGGCTAGTTATTTTGTAGAATGTCCCTAAATATGGATTTGATATTTTCTCATGACTAGATTCAGAGTATGCCTTTTTAGACTGGAATACTACTGAAGAAAGTTGTGCTCTCAGTGCCTCACATCAGGGGGCAGCGGACTCTCATTACGGGTGATGTTAACTCCATCGTTTGGTTGAGGTGGTGTCTGCCAAGGTACTCCTCCATAAAGTTACATTTTTCCCTTTGTAACTATTAAGTATCCTGTACAAAGACATTTTGAGACTACTTAAATGTCCTGTTCTTCATCAGACTGGTTTTAGATGACTGATGACTCTTGCTTAAAACTATTACTATTATAATGGTGTGAAATGATGATTGGAAGGCCTTTATATTAGTTTGCTAGGGCTGACATAAAATACAAACTGGGTGGCTTAAACAACAGAAATGTATTTTCTCACCACTCTGGAGCCTAGAAGTCCAAGATCAAGGTGTGAGCAGGTGTGGTTTCTCCTGATGCCTCTCTCCTTGCCTTGCAGACGGCCGCCTTTTCACTGTATCCTCACATGGCCTTTCTTCTGTGCAGTCACTTCCCTGGTGTCTCTTCCTCTTCAGGTGCAATATGAGCCAGTCATATTGGATTGGGCATTATATTGGATTAGGGCCTCACCCTAATGGCCTTACATTAACCTAATCACCCCTTTAAAGACCTTTTCTCTAAATATGGTCACATTTTAAGGCACTGGGGGTTGTGACTTCAACATATGCATTTCAGGGGGACACAATTCAGTCTTTAACAGCCTCTTTGTTTTTTTTGTTTTTTGTTTTTTTTAAAGATGACCAGTAAGGGGATCTCAACCCTTGGCTTGGTGGTGTCAGCACCACGCTCAGCCAGTGAGCCAACCGGCCATCCCTATATAGGATCTGAACCTGTGGCTTGGTGTTATCAGCACCGCACTCTACCGAGTGAGCCACAGGCTGGCCCTTTAACAGCCTCTTTGGAATATGGCATTTGAACTAAGATCCGAATGTTGAGAAGCCAATCATGATAAAACTAATGGAAAATCATTCCAGGACCAAGTACAGAAACCATGAGATAGGAACAAGCTTGATATTCAACTTCAGCCATCAGGGGAGAATGTAAAATGGTACGATCACATTGGAAGAAAAGTTTGGGAGTTTCTTATAAAGTTAGATATATATCTGCTATGGGCCAGCAGACATATTCCATGTCTAGGTATTTACCCATGATAAATGAAAACTTACATTCACAATAGACTTGTATAGGAATTTCATAGTGGCTTTTTCCCATAAGAGTCCCAAACTGGAAAACACTTCACTGTTCATCAATAAACGAATGGATAAACAAATTGTGGTATTTTCATATAATGTGATGCTGCTCAGGAAAAAAAAAAAGGAATAGAGTATTGATACAACATCGTGGATGAATAAAAAATAATTATGATTCCTCTGCTGAGTGCCAATTTGCTGTGTACAGAGGGCTTTGTGGAATGTCAGACCATTGATTGTGCTCTCTGTACACAGGAATTCACTCAGTTACTGGTTGAATAAAGCAATGAGTACATTAAACATAAGGAAAGTCATTCATTTAACATCTTTTGAGCCCTGCTATATGCTAAGCAATTTTAGAGGTGATGTATGGATGTGAATAAGACAAAACTCAGTGACTACCTTTGAGGGGCTGACACAGAAAATAAGATATAATGGCATTATGTGATTCCACATAACATTAGTCCTATGTAAGGTGATAAGTAGGGAACGGGATTGCAAGGGATAGGGTAGGTGCTGCTTTAGAATGGATGGAGATGACCATGGAGCATAAACTGGATAAAAGTAAAAGATAAGCCAAATGCATATCTACTGGAAGAGCATTTCATGTCAGACAGAAGAACAGGTACAAAGGCCCTGGGGTGGCAGGGGGCATGCAAGGAAACTAATGTGGCTGGAGTTCAGTGAACGGGGGAAGAGTAGTGGGAAGTGGGGACAGAGAAAGATGTAGTGGAGCCCCATAATGAGGCAGAGACTTGGGGGCCATGATAAGGACTTTGGACTTATTGAGCACTTACTATATACCAAGCACTATGCTAAGTGATATAGTGGGACACTATTGTCACTCCTTTCACAGATGAGAGAGCTGAGGCTCAGATAGGTTGTTATATCAAGAACTGCCCTACTGTGAGAAGGCAGAACGGTGAGGCTGGGGCTGGTAATCCAGCATCCTTACCCATCCCTGTACTTCAGGTGGCTGAGAACACCCAAGGGGCAGCCAGCCATTGGGGTGGTCCCATGGGAAAGCAGGGGGCTGTGGCCTGATTGGTGGAGTGACTGAGACTGCTGTAGGGGGCTCGGTGAGAGGTTTGGGGAGTAAGGAGGGAGAGTTGGGGACTGAAGTTTGGGGCTGGAGGTGACATTGGGGTAGAGGCTGAGAATGGTGTGAAATGAGGGTTGTAGTTGAGGGTGGGAGAGGGTGAAGGGAAGAAAGGCTGGTACAGGGTAGAGGAAGAGGTCTTCAGAGGGGCGTGGAAGTGGTAAAGACAAGCTTGAGGTGGGTGCCCCAATGGAAGAGACCCTCTGAGCAGGACTACTGAGATGCCTGGGTGGAGACTATGTGGCTGACTTGAAGAGTTCCCCTCCCATAATGGAGCTGGATTTTGGGATGCTCCAAGAGGGATGTCTCCAAGAAAAACTGGAGCTTGTCAAGATGCCTAATACCATGCTGCTCACAATAATTCCATGTGGAAGAGACTGTTATTGTCCCCATTTTACAAATGTTAAGACTGAGTCTTGGAAGATGTTCCATCACAAATGAGTGGAGTACCTGGGATTTGAACCCTGGCGGACTTCTGTTTGAGTACCCATGCTCTTAATCGTTATACAAATGGTTCCCAAGCTTGAGTGCCCATTAGCATCATCTGGAGAGCTGGTTAAAAGCGGGGTTGCTGGGCCCCAGCCCCAGAGTGGCTAGTGCAGTAAGTCTGGGGGAGGGATTGATAATTTTCATTTCTAGCAAGGTCCCAAGTGATGATGATGTTGCTAGTTTGGAAACTACACCTTGAGAACCACTATATTATACTAGATTGCTCCTAGACCAACCATAAAGCTGAAGTGATTGTAGAGGACTTGAGTTCTGGCAAAAAAAACCCTGGAAATAGGAAAGTAAGCAAATAAGACATGAGGTGATAATTAAAGCCAAGAAACAAAAACAATTCATAAGAAAAACATTGTAATCCTCGTAGACTGTAATGCTCA